TGTGTGATTCCAAATTTGAATTGAGAAAAGGAAGGGCATGGAGAGAGAGAGAGAGAGAGAGAGAGGGAGAGACACACACACACACAGAGGGAGAGAGAGAGAGAGATGATGATGATGATGATGATGATGATGATGAAGAAGGGAAAGGATTAGGAAGTATGATTCTTTGATCATAGCCTCTTGGTTACTTAGACTGTTGCTTCAGCATGGGTCACCTCTTATCACTGAATTTTGAAATGTTAATCAATCACAGCTCTTCAACTGCTTTTATATAACTTAAAAAATGATTCTGAATGTTTTAGCAACAGCAGCTCTCCAGAAAGGAATTCCCCCCCCCACCCCATACTACAGGTGCAATGACCAGAGCAATATTACCCTGTGGACTAAACGAAATAAATCTGGTAAGTGAAAGTTCCTCACTCTTGCTTAAACACTCATTCTTATCCTAATATAGTGCACCTTCATTTTATTTGAGGTTACAGATCTGATTGGCATCTTAAAGAGTTAATTTTCAGCAACCAAAAAATGTTTATACATTTAGGACTGAAAGGGACCATAGAGATCATGTAGTCCTACTTCCTCATCATCTAGTCTAATCCCTTTATTTTAAAGAGGAAAAACTGAGGCCCAGAGAGTGGAAGTGTCTTTCCCAGAGTTGCATAGTTAGTTAGTAATACAGCTTAGATGTATAGCTATCATATTGACAATTAAGTGTGGTTAATTTTGGATCTCAGATTTGTTTCCGCTTGACATCTAACAAAGTTCCAGATCTCTTCCTTGTTGTCACTGTTTAACTCAGAGAATGTAAATTATTATTAATATATACCTAATCAAAACACAAGTAGGAGGGCAGATCTAATGCCCCAAATCATTCTTATAATATTTTCTAAGTAGAAGTAATTTTTGTGCGGAGGGGATGAATGAAACTCTGTCAGAATATTGGTATACTGGCTAGAAGACCACTACTACATCTAGATTATCTAGGCCTTTGCATCATTTACTCAGATAATCAAGAGTAAATCAATTAAATTCATTGGGCTCTCTTCCACCATCAGATGGTCTTTCTTCCACCCAAATTACTGGTGAAGCGGTAGCTTATTTGAATTACCTATGTTCTCAAAAATTAAAAGATTACCTTTTTTTATAAAATAATATTTTTGACTCAATGGGGCTCTTGCTGACTTAAAATTCTAACATTAACATAATTATTTACATAATAACAATTATTTACACATTACCCTTTGTGGCATACATAGTTTAGAACCCTAGTCCAGAATTAATATCTTTCTTTTTATACAACTAAAGTTTTATTCAATGTTACCATGACTGAAATGTATTCTAGCATTCTCTCTTCGGGTAATAGAATAGGAACAATAAATTATAGAATTGGATGGGGCCTTACATGTCAATCAGAAATATGGAATTGAAAGAGAACTAAATGATTATTTAATCCAGTCAACTCATTGAACATGAGAGAACAGAGAGATGAAGTAATTTGGCCAAGGACACATGTAATTAGGATGTTTGGAGATTAGAACTTAAGTTTCTTGACTCAGTGTTATCTTTTCCACTCTGCCATCCTGCCTCATTAATGCCAATCCATCTATATACAGAGCAGGCAGTTATGACTTTAAGAAGCTAAGTTACTTGCCTCAGGTCACGATGTAATTAAATCATCCTGTGCTCCCCCCGCCCCCAATTTTATTCTTTTCATGTTTTCGGTTAGATGTCATGGAAAGGAATACAAAATCATTGTTGCTTTATATCTTCTCCCCCTCATAACTTTTGATCTAGAAGACTGGCTTAAACCATATTAGGTGGAAGGCATCAAGTTTGGTTAAGGTCTTACAAATTGACAAATAGTGGGTACTAGTAGAGGTATCATAGGATCACAGGACTTAAGAGCTGAGAGAAACCACGGTGATATTTAATCCAACCACTCTTCCCCTCAGTTAAGAAAACCAAGTGTTAGAGAGATGTAGTCATTTGCCATGGCTCTTATAAGTAGCAGATCCAATATCTTAGTCCAGATCTGCTGAATCCAAATGTGATGCTCTTTTCATTATATTATACTATAAGTAAATATTCTAACTTTGCACAGCTGCTGAAATTATTGATCCATATGTAGATATAATGCTGCCATAAATACCCTGGGGCATGTAACCAGGATAATAATGATAATACTGATAATAACAATTAATAATGATAACAATAATGGAAACTTCCAAATAGATTTTATAAAATCTCTCAGGGGTATCATCTGGGGTTGCCTGATTTTTTAAACAAGTACATGAACTATGAGGCAGAAAGTCATAATAGACATAACTTTATAATTATTTTAATAAGATAATTCTTTGTCTTTACTTTATTCTCTGCTTACCTGGCTCCCAATCTCTATCACATTGCCTTAAAAACACATTCAGTATAAGAGTATAGAATATAAATAGATGGGATAGAATGTTTCAGGTAAAATGTGTTCTGGATAAACAGGAGAAAGTAGGAAGGATTGCAATAAAAATAAGGAGTAGAACATTCTGAAAAGCAGTTTAGAACTATGGCCCCAAATCTACTAAACTGTGCATACCTTTTTACCCAGAAATAGCATTACTGGATCTATACCTCAAAAATATTAGAGAAAGAGGGAAAGAACCCATATGTACAAAAATATTTATGGTAGCTCATTTGTGGTGGTGAAGAATTGGAAAATGAAAGAGTGGTCATTAATTGGGAAGTGGCTAAATAAGTTACTGCATATGTATGTGATGAAATACTTTTGAAATGGTGAAGAAATGATGAAGGAGATGGTTTTAGAAAAATCTGGGAAGACTTTTCTGAAATGTTGCAAAGTGAAATGAGTAGAATCAGGAAAACAGTTTATATAGTAACAACAATACTATGAAAGAAAAACAACCTTAAGACTTGCTTTCAACTTACAGATAGAGGGGTGATAAACTCTCAGATTGTAATATATATACACACACACACCATGGCTAATGTGGGAATTTGTTTTGCTTAACTATATGTGTGTATATACATACATGTAACAGTTTTTTTTTCTTGTTTCCTTAATGGATGGGGGAGATAGAGGTGGGGGTGGAGGTGGGAGACAGAATTTTAAACTGAAAATAAAATTGGATTTAAAAAGTACATTAAAATTAACAGAAACGCATCAAAAAATTCCTAGTACAAAGCTTACCTGTGAATGCAGAATACGACCTCCCTTCTTTTTTCCTTGGAAATTTTCTGAAGACTCCTTATGTGCATCTGCACCAATGAGGGGAAGGAATCTCAGGCTTGTGGGGCTTGGAACCTGGAAAATAAAAATGAATAGTTGTTAGGATGCTAAACATCCTGACTAGTTTTCATGACTCTTCCCTGGTTTGCACAACCTTTTCCCCTTCTACTTCTAGTGCTTCCTACTTTAGCATCTCCCATGATGTACTGAATTTGACTCTTTCCTCTGGAATTTGTAACTGCATTATCTTTTTGCATTTTTGTATTGGGATGAAAGTGGAACTCCTTCCTAGTCCCAGGGAGCTGTCTACATTATCATTTCTTTTTGTGGGATCTTCTCATATAGCTGATCATACCAGTCCCTAGATCGTAGACATCTTCTAGTGGCCATTTGCACCATTGCCCTACTTTTGCCGCTTAGAATTATTTGTCCTCTATTATGTTTATTTATGGATGATTGCCTTATTACCCTACTAAACTTTATATCTTATCTAAGTATAATATTCCCCTTGCCCCACTTCCACTCAGTGTCTAGCACAGCCACACAGTAGGCATTTAATAAATGTGTGTTCACTGATGGAGTTTTGGAAGGATGCTGAGAGTAGTTACCTAGAATCAATGCATTGATCAATGACCCACTCCTCATGAGATAAAAAAGACCTTCAATGATAATGATGATGATGATGAGGAGGAGGAGGAGGAGAAGGAGGAGGAGTTTATGGGAAGAAAATACCACCCCATGGGTGAAAGCCTAGTAAGTTGTGGAGGCAATGCCACTAATTGAGAATTGTCATGCCACAAGGAAAACATTGTAGTTATAGGTCTAAGCTTTTTCTGTTAGTGTTAAGTGTTAAGTGCCTTTAGCTTCTTGTATTAGTGCTTCCTACATTGTGTCTTTTTCACCCTGTGTAGAGTATGATGGGTTTCTTGAATAGATGTTACTTTTTTTCTATCTCTTCAATGAACCATTTTTAAATGGTTGTAAATCTATCAGAGGGAGAGGAAGGGAGGGAGGGAGAGAGGGGGGGAAAGAGAGGAAGAGAGAGAGAGAGAGAGAGAGAGAGAGAGAGAGAGAGAGAGCTTGAAAAGAAAATAGTTAAGTTTAAGGAAGTTGGTTTGGTTTTTTTTAGGACAAAGGACTTGAAAAATGTTTGTAGGCAGAAGGGAGTGAGTAGCACAGTCTAGGATTCAATTGTTTTGAAATGTTCCATATGAATTACTTTTATCTTTCTAAAGAAATGGTAAGCTCACTGAAGACAGGAATGTTTTACACTTTTTTTTGGTATTATCAATACAACTCAGCTGAGTGAGCATGGAGTATATTTTCAACAAAAATATATTGATTGATTATTTGAGGTATTTCACTTTAAAATCATGGGAAAATTTGACTCTACTATGCTAAAAAAGTTTAGCTTGAATTTACCCTGTATATAGGTAGGGAACCAAATATAACCCCAGCTTCTCTGTTTCCTGTCATGGTACTTTCCAAAATATTTCTTCTAATCTGTAAAAGAAAAGAGTGATTGAACATGTATGTGTTCCATGGAAAGCTCACATTAAATTAATAGCTCTCAGTGGTGATGACTGTAATGGTAGGCCCCCATATGGAATGATGCTGAGCAAGTATAAACAGGATTCAAAAGGAAATGAATTACACAAGTAGCAAAAATCCAGAGAGGGAAAATGGCCCCTGATGAATGCTAATGAGGTCCAAAGGAGCTGAATTTAACCGTAACTTTAAGAACTCAGCTTTTCTGCTCTGATTGCCATACTGAAGAAGTCATAGAATCAAAATCTAGAGCAGAAAGGGACCCCAGGGTCCATCTAGTCCCAGATCTTCATTTTACAGATGAGGCAACTGAGGCCCAAAGAAGTTATGTGATTTGCCCAAGATCCCACAGATAGTAAGTATCAGAAATGGGATTTGTGCCCAGGTCCTTTGAATCCAGAGTTACTACTCTTTCAAACTTTGCCCAATTAGGACCAGAGAGTTCAGCAAGCCTCTATTCTCTCTAAGACTGGTTAAATCATTTAATCTCAATTACATGACTTTTTCTCCTTCTTTTAATAAGACAGAATGTAAGTGGTATGAGTAGTGGTGAAAATTCATTGGTCGTGCTACACATAAAAATAGCTAATAAAATTCACATCAACTCTTGGCCAAATGCCTAAAGCTGCTTGAAGTTCGAGGAGATGTTAAAAGCTGAAATGGTATGAATAACATACACCTTTCTCTCTACCACTTTCACACAGAAAAAGGACAGGTTTGTGACTGAGAAAAAAGTTTTATGGATCTTGCTTTTCTTCTTAACACATGTATACATCTAGGAAAGCAAAAATGAAGGGATAGAAAAGAGGAAGATTACCTTTGGAGAAGAAAGGGATTTGAAAAACTTAAATTCTTGATTAACATCAAAGGGTTTGGGAATTGGTTGTCTGAATAATAAGGAGAATGAACTCATTTTCCTCCATCTGCATAAAAAGATATAAAGAAAAAAATGTGTTAGTAGTTAATTATACTAAAGTACATCTCAGTAATAAAGTCTCAATCCTGATATCTCCTTTCTTGCTTTTCAAGTTCTTTAATTCAACCTCAACCAAATCTTTGGCAAACTACTGCTGACACCACCCCATGTTCCACTCAACTTCATAAAATAATTGAATCTCAGAGTTGGAAAGAACCTCTTGATCATTTAGTCCTGCTCCTTCCTGAAAACAAGAATCCCCTAAGTGGTCCTGTTTTCCTTTTCCCCACAAGTAAAACCACGTGGTTTCTCCTTTTTAAGTCCAGGGCATACCCACTATGCCATATTTAAGTTCTGGTTCCTATGATTACCAGTGCCACTGCTCAAAGAAAACAACATGATTTCTATAACCAATTTACATATATTAGCATATGGTAGGAGATAATGCATGGCAGATTTGGGAAAACCACTGTCTCATAGGCTGTAACTGACCCTTGGTTTACTTTCAGCTGGCTCATGGCAAGTTTTCTAAAATGAAGTGTCTGGAAGTCTTCTCTTTTCATACTGCCTGTCATCCTACTTTAAAAATTCAATTGGGAACATGCAATATTGCTTTTAAATATCTTTAGTGGTCATGTAATTTAAAAAAATAGCTATGAGGCAGAATGTTATTCCATGAAAAAAAATACTTTTTTCCCCCCTGTGGGCCAGTCATTATGTAATAGTAATAATGACAAATGAAATACAGCATCCTGGCAGGTGAGGGAAAACCTCAAAGATCCCTTATATGGTTATTCAGTTTTAGGAAAAGAAATTGACAAAACAATTTTTTTTTTAAAAAGCAACAATAGAAATTTAAAAAGCAGCCTGGTGAACTTGAAAAATATAATTATGGTTAACACAGGAAACCTGCCTTACCAGTGATAGCATGATACAGTGGGGGAAAAAAGCACTGAATTTGGCATCATAGGATCTGGGTTTAAATCCCAGCTCTGATTTACAAACTGTGTGAGTCTTTGGACAGGTGACTATGCCTCTGTAGATCTCAGTTCCCTCATCTATAAAATTAGGGGGTTAGGCTAACTGGTTTTTAAGGTCATTCATTTCCAGTTCAGAATTGAGGATGAGCCTATTGAATATCTGGGAAAAGTTTAATGGAGAGGCTACACCTCGAAGGATGTATAGAGTTTGGCTAGGTGAAAGGAAAAAAGGAAGGTACTCCAGGGATGGGAATGGCATTTATCAAAAGCAAGTCTATGAAGGAGGGAATAAGCGTGGATTGTTCAGGTGACAGTGGGGAAGCTGATCTATATGGAATGGGAAGTGTGGAGTTAGAGAACATTGAGAGAAAAAGTTGAATAAGTATATTGGAACTAGACTATGAAGGCTAGAGATATGAATAGCAATTTTAATAACTGGAATAAACAGCACAAAGCATGATAATACAAGAATTAAAAAAGATAAATTAAGTTAGGTAAGAGAGGAAATCCTGGGATATCACCCCATAAAGGGGTGAGGTCTAAAGATACCAGCCCTGAGGGAGAAGAGATACCAGTATCCTTCTAGGGAGGTTACCACCTGGGATGGGAGTAGTGTAGTGTGTAGCATGGCTATACAGGGGAGGAGCTCATTTGAGGTAGTATCTGTTAGTTTTTTCATTTATCTAATTATTCTTGCCAACAGGTCCTAAATTCATTTGTTTGAACTACCAAGGCATGTATATGCAACCAAAATGTAAACATAAGAAATACCAAAATGCAAAACCTTTTAAAATCATTATTAAAATATCTTTTGCATCTTTTCAGCTTAAGTGCCTGAGACAAAACCCAAATCACCTCCCACTTTAGTTACAGCTCTGAGGGAGTCAAAGAATATTGAATGTTATCCTAAAGGCAACAGGGAGGCGCCAGCAGTTTTTAAGCAAGAGGGTGAAATGACTGAATATTAAGGATACTAACATGGTGATGGTATATAGAATGAAATGAAGGGATGAGACAAGGGGCAATTCAAAAGCTACTCAAATGATATAGATATGATATGTTACATTCTGGACTACAGTGTTTTGAAAAGAAAGGATGTGTGTGTGTGTGTGTGTGTGTGTGTGTGTGTGTGATATGATATATCAAAGAGAGAACCTTTTAAAAAAAACAAACCCTTAAAAGAGTTAATTAAATTGGTTTTTACTTATGCATGTCACTTTGGGTTCCACCCCCCCATGGGTCAGGAAAAAAAGATAATACACTCCCCTACTGTATATTTGTAGTATTAATATATTTCCACCACACATGACACACACGTTACATATAACATAAATAATTTCACAATTTGACTTAACTTGCATTATTTTGTTAAAAATATAAGTTTGTAAACTCCCACTCTCACAACTGCCCCTCTAAATAAAAACTGTTATCTTACTTGTCACGGTCAAATACTAGAGGATATTCATATTTCTGTTTCTTTTCTGTGTATTTGCTTTCTTCTTTTACTTCTACAGGGTGTTCACTAACATCACAAGGCAAGATGAAATCAGTTACTTCGTTCAGTTCAAATGTTCTGCGCTGTCCAAAGTAGCCACAGTAATGTCCATTGCGGGCATGCCAAATCCTTGAGGGGGTGGAGAGAAAATTTTATATATATATATGTATGTATATATATGTATGCATATATGTATACACATATCACATCACATATATACTATATGTATGTATGTATGTATGTATGTATGTATGTATGTATAGTAGTGAGGCTGCTTTTTTTTTTTGGTGAGGCAATTGGGATTAAGTGACTTGTCCAGAGTCACACAGCTAGTGAGTGTTATGTGTCTGAGGCCAGATTTGAACTCAGGTCCTCCTCACTCCAGGGCTGGTGCTCCTTCCACAGTGCCACCTCACTGCCCCGGTAAGGCTGCTTTTGAAGCCATTTTTGTACTTTTTTTTATTAGTCCTTCAGTTTTTTTCAAGTTCTTTTATCTCTTATTCCATGCAATTCTATAAGACAATTCACATAAAGCATATGATACTTTTGAACAAAACTTTAGGGCTGCACAGCATCATTTATTTGGCAAAAGAGGAACCTAAGGGAGAGACTGCTTAAGTAATTTCTCACAAATGATGTCCATCACCACGCAGGAGTGACTAGGACCCAGGATTACTGATAGAACACACATCTGCTAAATCAGACCATAAAATGAACCTCTTATCTTGCCTTTAAGTATTGGCACTAGGAGAAAGGTTTTAAAATTGTATTGTCACTTGACCTAGAGATATGAAGGAAACCCAGTATCTTTGAAAAAAATATTGTTTAGGGCCTCACATTATTGCTGTATCTCTCTCTCTCCCTCTCTCTCTCTCTCTCTCTCTCTCTCCCTCTCTCTCTCTCCCTCCCTCCCTCCTTCCCTCTCTCTCTCCCTTTCTCTTTCTGTGAGTGGTAACAATCAACAAACATTTATTGAGCCCCAACTGTGTTCCAGGCACTTCTAGGCACTGGAATACAGAGACAAAATGAACCAGTTCCTTCCCTCTAAGAGTTTACATTCTATCTTATAATTATACTCATTTTTAATTATTGATCCCCTAAAACATTTGACAATAATGGATCATTTTCCATGGAATATCTTTTGACATTAAATTGCCCATGGCTTTTCTTCTATACAAGATAACTAAGGAGACTCTTTAGTAAAAATACTTATTCCTACATAATGAGGCTGGAACAAATGACATTTGGGGGAGTTTTCTTTTATTTTCTTATCTCACTTCAAAGTCCCACAGGATAGCAGGATGGACCTACCTATCATGGGTCCAGCTGGGGAGATCTTAGAATGAAGATTTGACCAAAACCAGAACCTCTAGACTATGGCAAATACTAACAACAGGAGAATACAAATAATAATTCCAAAATTAAAGTTTGAGGATTAATACTAGCCTGATCTGTCCTTCAGAATTATGAGTTCCAAAATCTAGATGGTCTGTCTTCACCTAATATGTTCCTAATGTAGAGTCAGAATACCTGGGTTTGAATCCTTGTTCTGTAAACTACTAACCTTGTAACTTTAGATAGTTTAATTTTACCCCCCCAACCCCAAGACTCTATCTGCAGTATCATATCATTATTGTAAAACATAAATGAAATAATTTTTTATCATTTTAAAAGTCTAGAAATCCCAGTAGTATGAAAATCTAGATAACTTTAGGGATGACTATCAAAGCCTTCAGTTTGCTTTGGTCCATTGCTGAAATATCATCCAGGCTCTTAACTGCTACTGTTTCCTTACACTTGGAGTTCTCCAAGGTTCTGAACCTTCCACTGGGAGTCCCTTGAATCTTAATTTCCTGGACATTAGCTGTACTAGACTTTAGCCCCACTAAACGTTTGCCTTCTGATTGACTTCCTGACTTCCTCCAACCTATCTTTCAATCACACTTAGTTCATATATAAAAGTCTATGTATGTTTGTTTAATAAACAAAGATTTGAAAGTGAGGACATTTAGAAATAACAGAGAGAAGGTATCATCTTTATTGCGGAAAGATATGTCTGGCTTAGCTATTCTCAGCAATACAATGATCTAAGACAGTCCCAAAGGACTAACAATGAAGCATATTATCTGCCTCCAGAAAAAGAACTGATCCTGTCTGAATACAGAATAAAGCATGCTATTTGTCACTTTCTTCCATTCTTTTCTTTCAAATTTGAGTCATGTACAAAATGACTAACATGGAAATGTTTTATATGACTGTGTATGTATAACCTATGTTGATTTCTTATTGTCTCAGGGAAGAGGTAGGGGAGGGATAGAATTTGGAATTTAAAAAAAACAAATGTTAAAAATTGTTTTAACCTGTTATTGGGGAAAAATAAAATATTATATATTTAAAAAGATAAAAGAAATGTGTCTGGGAAGGGCAGTTAGCAATCAGAAGTAGTAGTTCAGAACTACTGATAGCGAGATAGGAAGAACTGATTTTAAAAGTGAGTGATAGGGGCAGCTAGGTGGCACAGTGGATAGAGCTCCAGCCTTGGCATCGGGAGGACCTGAGTTCAAATCCGGCCACAGACATATAATACTTACTAGCTGTGTGACTCTGGACAAGTCATTTAACCCCAATTGTCTCACCAAAAAAAAAAAAAGTGAGTGATAAAAATAATTAGCACCTATCAGGTAACTGAAAATAGGGTGGAGTACAGACTAGAGGGGCCAGAGTTGTGAACAACATGTTTTGTGTATGATATAATGGTACATTCTGAACATCCCTGCTAATCAACTAGCAATATCCCTTGTTGGGCAATGCAAAATCAGCCCTGGAATTTTGCTCCCAAATAGCATGTCATTCGAGGACTTATGCTTTCTTCTTGGTTGGCTGGGGATATATCAATTGATCAGAAAAGTATGACAAGGAAGTAACTATGAGTACATAAACTGGCACACTAAGAAAGGATAGCATACTGGTAGGTATTTTATTTTCAGTACTGAAGTATTCTGGTGAAATTAGTTGCATTTTTTATCAGCTCACAGAATCATAGAAAATAGCATTAGAGATGCCGCTCATTTTATAGATGATAAAACTGAAGTGAAATGACATATTTGAGGTGAAATGACACATAGCTGATTTAGTAGTGGAGATGAGTCTAGCAGTTATCTATTTAGTTATTTAATTGATTCCTAGTCCACTGCTTTGCCTGTCATGCCACAAAAGTGTGAACATTATACACTGGTTGTGTTTTGCTTTCAAATTAAGTTCAAACTCTTTTGCCTCTCTTTTCTTCTAAGGCAGGGGTTCTTAACCTTTTTTTGTGTGTGGACTCCTTTGGCAATCTGGTAAAACCTATGGAACCCTTCTCAGATTGTTTTTGAATGCAAAGATTACAGTATGGAGTATTACAAAGGAATGCAATTAGATTGAGATATAGTTATCAATTTTTTTAGAAGTTCAGAAATCTCAGGTTTAGAACCCTTGGCAGTCTAAGGCAGTATTTCCTTATGTTGAATTTTTGACATGCTTATGCATGTAATTATTTCAGGGATATTATAATATAAACATATGCAATGTATACATATGTATGTATATACATGCACACACGATATACATGTATCCATGTCTGTCTTTCTCTATCTCTATCTCTATCTATGATACTGCATGAATTCCTTTCAGATAGGTAGGCAGATAGATAGATAGATACATACATACATACATACACACTATGAGGTGTGCTATAAAGCAAGATTGGAGGAGTAGGGGCTGCCTCATTAGTAGTCCAATGGCCTATTCCAATGGACTTTAGTTATCATGGTAGGATAATTATCCTGGATCCTTGAAGGCTATGCCAGAAAAGCCCAAGCTCTGGCAGATCCTAATAGACTGGAAAAGACTCAACTATGGGTTCAACAACAGAGTATTTCTCACTTGAAGACTAGTCTAGCTAAATGTGGAAAGGCTCATCATTAAAAGGTTGGCCACCCAGAGTTGACTTATTTTACCAGCCACAGAAACTCATGAAGACCATCTACTAAGGTGTACAAGTGATTACAGTCTGAGTTAAGGCGATGCCCATATAAATGCTATGAAAACATAGATCCTTGAAGTAGTGATCACTCTATCATCTGTGATAGAAAATTGCCAAACCACATATGTTATATAACAATACACATATACATCTTCCTTCCTTCCTTCCTTCCTTTCTTTCCTTCAAGGTTGATCTCGAGTGCACCTTCTACAAGAGGATTTTCCTGATCCTCTGCTGTTACTGAGACCTCCCCCAATTACTCTCTGTGTGTATGTATGTATGTGCACACACACATATTTGTTGATCTATTGGTGTTCATGTTATTTCCCATAGTGGTAATAGCAAGTCCTTGAGCTCAAGGACTGTTTTGATTCTGTCACTGTCTCCCCTCTTTTTCTTTCTTTCTTCCTTCCTTCCTTCCTTCTTTCCTTCCTTCCCTCTTTCTTTCCTTCCTTACACATAGGAGTCTCTGTAGTATCTGAAATGTGTGTGTGTGTGTGTGTATTTATGCTATATAGCATAGAGAGGGAATTTTTAAATTCTTAAGTCCTAAAAACATCAAATAAAAAGTAATAAGGCTGGTAATTACTATTCTTGCCATAGCCTGCTCACGTGCACCTCTTCCTGTATCATTTATTCTTTTCTTCAAATCATATTTTCATGGTATTCCTTAGGTTTAGATACATTTCTCTGAGTTAATTTGCCTTGTTTAGGTTCAGATCTTTGCACTTATTTAGGAAAACTTTTTTACTCTTTGTCATGTTGTAGGATCATTTAAGGCACTTGAGGACTTAGCAAAAAATTCTAAATTTAATGCTATATATAGTCTCAAGACTCATATATACCATTTTTAAGGAGTAGAAGTCTGTATCATTTGGACCATAAGATTGTGGGACTAGTTCTTCCTTTACCTCTATCTGCTTCAAAATCAAGGAGCCCTACCATAAATCTCCTTTTGGTGGGAAGTGTCAAGTATGCACTTACCTTACTGACCCATCAACAGAGGAGGTCAATACCACTTGTTTATCCTCAACATAGATGACATTGACAATTTTCAAAGCATGCCCACGCCATGCAATCAGCTGCTTAAATTTCTAAATAGCAATAACAAAATGACTTATGTAACAAAAATATGATAAGCAATTCAACAAACACTTATTCATCATTATATAGCATTTAAGGTATGCAAGGTATTTTTCTTTTTCTTTTTCTTTTTTAGGCAATTGGGATTAAGTGACTTGCCCAGAGTCACACAGCTAGTAAGTGTTATGTATCTGAGGCCAGATTTGAACTCAGGTCCTCCTGACTCTAGGGCCAGTGCTCTGTCCACTGTGCCACCTAGGTGCCCCCAAATTGCTGCAAGGTATTTTTCTTATAACCACTCTGTGAGACAAATAACAATTATTAATATGCCCAATTTTACACTTAAAATGCACCAAAAGATTAAGTAAATTTCTCACCATCATCCAGATAGTAAGATTTTGATGCAGGATTTAATCCTAGGTCTCCTGACTTTTGGTGCAAGAGTGTTGCAACACTCCTGCTACTATGCTGTAGTATCTCTCGAGCACTTACTGTGTTCGAGGCACTGTAATAGGCAGTCATGAACAAATTCAGTTGTCATCAACTTAGATTTTTGGCTAAAAAGAATAGGCAGATACCAACAAAGTATGATTTAAGGGAAGCTGGGCAAGTCTCCATCCAAAATATATTCTTCTATTCCTTGTCATGGTGGCTTTAATTCCACAATTAGGAATTAGGTTTGGGTTTTTTCTTTCATTTCAGTCTTTTTTGTCTTGAAGAATTCATTCTTTGTTAAAAAATAATTTATTTATTTTTAGTTTTCAACATTCCCTTCCATAAGATTTTGAGTTTTAAATTTTCTCCCCCTTCCTCTGCTCCCTCCCCCACCATGGTGTGCAATCTGATATAGGCTCTACTTATACATTCAGATTAAGCATATTTTCCCATTAGTCATGATGTAAAGAACAATTAGAACTAATGGGAAGTACCATGAGAATGAAGCAATAAAACAAAACAACAAAGAAAAAGGAGAGAAATAGTATGTTTCCATCTGCATTCAGACTCCATAGTTCTTTCTCTGGATGTGGATAGCATTTTCCATCATGAATCTTTGGAGTTGTCTTAGATCCTTGCATTGCTGAGAAGAGCCAAGTCTATCAAAGTCAGTCATTGCACAGTGTGGCTGTTACTATGTTCAATGTTCTCCTGGTTCTGCTCATTTCACTCAGCATCAGTTCATGTGAGTCCAGGTTTTTCTGAAATCTGCCTGCTCATCATTTCTTATAGCACAACAGTATTCCATAACATTCACATACCACAGCTTGTTTACCCATTCCCCCACTGATGGACATCTCCTCAGTTTCCAATTCTTTGCCACCACAAAAAGAGCTGCTACAAATATTTTTGTAGATGTGGGTCCTTTTTCTGTTTTTCTGATCTCTTTGAGATTTGGACCTAGAAGTGGTATTGTTGGGTTAAAGGGTATACACAATTTTATAGCCCTTTGGGCATAGATCCAAATTGCTCTCCAGAATGGTTGGATCAGTTCACAATTCCACCAACAATGCATTAGATTTCCAGTTTTCCCATATCTTCTCCAACATTTATCATTGTCCCGTTTTGTCAAATTAGCCAATCTGAGAGGTGTGATGTGGTACCTCAGAGTTGTTTGATTTGTATTTCTCTAATCAATAATGATTTAGAACATGTTTTCATGTAACTATAGATAGCTTTAATTTCTTCCTCTGAAAACTACCTGTTCATATCCTTTGACCATTTATCAATTGGGGAATGACTTGCATTCTTATAAATTTGACTCAGTTTTCTGTGTATTTTAGAAATGAGACCTTTAGCAGAGATACTGATTATAAAAATTCTTTCCCAGTTTTCTGCTTCCCTCCTAATCTTGGATGCTTTGGCTTTGTTTGTGCAAAAACTTTTCAATCTAATGTAATAAAAATTATCCATTTTACATTTCATAATGTTCTTTATCTCTTGTTTGGTCATAAATTCTTCCCTTCTCCATGGATCTGAAAGGCAAACTATTCTTTGCTCTCCTAGTTTGCTTATAGTCTCAGTCTTTATATTTAAATCCTGAACCCATTTTGACTTTATCTTGGTATAGGGTGTAAGATGTTGGTCCATGCCCAGTTTCTGCCACACTATTTTCCAGTTTCCCCAGCAGTTTTTGTTAAATAGTGATCTCTTACCCAGAAGCTGGAGTCTTTGGATTTATCAAATAGTAGATTAATATAGTCATTGACAGTTGTGTCTTGCTTACCTAACCTATTCCACTGATCCACCACTCTATTTCTTAGCCAGTACCAAGTAGTTTTGATGATTGCTGCTTTATAATGCAATTTAAGATCAGGTACAGCTAGGCCACCTTCTCTCGCATTTCTTTTCATTAGTTCCCTTGATGTTCTGGACCTTTTGTTCTTCCAGATGAATTTTGTTATTGTTTTTTATAGCTCTATAAAATAATTTTTTTGATAGTTTGATTGGTATGGTACTGAATAAGTAAATTAATTTAGGTAGAATTTTCATTTTTATTATATTAGGTAGGCCTACTCATGAGCAATTGATAGTTTTCCAATTATTTAGATCTGATTTTATTTGTGTGAAAAGTGTTTTGTAATTGTGTTCATATAGTTCCTGGTTTTGTTTTGGCAGGTAGACTCCCAAATATTTTATAATGTCTACAGCAATTTTAAATGGAATTTTTCTTTCTATGTCTTGCTGTTGGGCTTTGTTAGTAATATATAGAAATGCCAATAATTTGTGGGGGTTTATTTCATATCCTGCAACTCCATTGTTTATTATTTCAAGTAATTTTTTACTTGATTCTCTAGGATTCTCTAAGTATACCATCATATCATCTGCAAAGACTGATAGAGTTGTTTCTTCTTTGCCTATTCTAATTCCTTCAAATTCTTTTTCTTCTCTGATTGCTGCAGCCAACATTTCTAGCACAATATTGAATAACAGTGGTGATAATGGACATCCTTGTTTCATCCCCAATCTTATTGGAAATGCTTTTAGCTTATCCCCATTACATATAATGCTTGTTGATGGTTTTTGATAGATGCTATCTATAATTTTAAGGAAGACTCCATTTATTCCTATGCTCTCTAGTGTTTTTAATAGGAACAGGTGTTGTATTTTGACAAATGCTTTTTCTGTATCTGTAGAGATAATCATATGATTTCTGTTAGTTTTGTTGTTGATATGGTCAATTATGCTGATAGTTTTCTTAATATTGAACCAGCCCTGCATTCCTGGTATAAATCCTACATTGGCATAGTGTATTATCCTCAAGATAAGTTGTTATAATCTGTTTGCTAATATTTTATTTAAAATTTTTGCATCTATATTCATTAGGGAGATTGGTCTATAATTTTCTTTCTCTGTTTTGGCTCTTTCCAGTTTAAATATCCGCACCGTATTTGTATCATAAAAAGAATTTGGTAGGAATCCTTCTTCACCTATTTTCCCAAATAGTTTATATAATATTGGAATTAGTTGTTCTTCAAATGTTTTATAGAATTCACTTGTAAATCTCCCTGGCCCTGGAGATTTTCTCTTAGAGAGTTCATTGATAGCTTATTCAATTTCTTTTTCTGAAATAGGGTTGTTTAAGTATTTTATTTCCTCTTCTGTTTATCGGGGCAATTTATATTTTTGTAAATGTTTATCTATCTTGCTAAGATTGTCAAATTTATTGGCATACAGTTGGGCAAAGTAGCTCCTAATTATTGTTTTGATTTCCTCTTCATTGGAAGTGAATTTACCCCTTTTCATTTTTGATGCTGGTAATTTGGTTTTCTTCTTTCTTTTTTTAAATCAAGTTAACCAAAGGTTTATCTATTTTATTGATTTTTTCATAAAACCAGCTCAGTTTTATTTATTAGTTCAATAGTTTTCTTAATTTCAATTTTATTAATCTCTTCTTTGGTTTTAAGAATTTCTAATTTGGTACTTAATTGGGGATTTTTAATTTGTTCTGTTTCTAGCTTTTTAGTTGCGTGTCCAATTTGTTGATCTCTTCTTTCTCTATTTTATTCATTTAAACATTTAGAGATATAAAACTTCCCCTAAGGACCACTTTTGCTACATCCCATAAGTTTTAGTATGTTGTCTCATTATTGTCATTCTCTTGGATGAGGTTATTGATTGTTTCTATGACTTGTTGTTTGACTCACTCATTCTTTAGGATTAGATTATTTGGTTTCCAATTAATTTTTAGTCTATGTTTCCATAGCCATTTATTGCATGTAATTTTTATTGCATCATGAGCTGAAAAGCATGCATTTAATGTTTCGCTGCTGGTAGATGTCTGTCAGGCTGAAGGTTTGCTTCCTGGAGTTGTGCTTCCCAGAGTTGTGTTGAGGTACCAGTTGATTTGGCTGCTGGAGAATGCCATCACCCATGGTGGTTTTCCGAAGTGGTGTCTATCCAGTTCCCCTGCCTGTATTGAGGCTCTCGGGTCCTGGTGTCAGCACTTGCCTGGGTCTCAGGATCTCCCCATGATATGCTGCAGTGGGGTTTGCTGCTGGTTTGCTGGGATGCCTCTAGTTCTGTACTGCTTCCCCTCCTCTGGAGTGAGAGGGGCCTTTCCTGTTAATCCCCCAAACTTCCTGGGCTACATGCAGCACCCTGTCTTTTTGCTGGCTCAGGGTTTTTCCTGGGTTGATGTTTTCTGGGCTTTCAGAGGTCAATAAGGGAGGGTGATTTACTTCTTACTCCACCATCTTGGCTCCCAGAAGCGGAACTTTGTAGAATTCATTCTTGAAATGCAAATATCTTTGATACATGACATAACCTTAAGCTTTTGTCAGTGTGGATCTAAAGCAACTTCTTGCTGTGAGCAAGATGTAAAGGAGGAAACATATGGATCTTGGGGGAGATGAGGGAAGAGAACAATGGAACCCAGATTGGGAAGAGAGTTTTCAAAAGGGAAGATCCAAATAAATGTGTGTCTGGCTAAAGTTATTACCTTTTGTGGGACTTTGAAAATCCCAAAGCTGAAAGTAGATGACCAAAAGTGGTAGTCAAGGTTTTTTCCCCAATGACTTCATAAGGCCTGATTAATACCTGTCTAGAGAGACAGAGTCTAGAAATTCAAGCCCAAGCATAGGCCTCCAATCTAGCCTCTGCCATATGATCCTGAAACACTGGGGCTGTCACCAAAAACTGAGTCTAGAGCCTGATTTGCTTCAGATGTTTGCCTGGAACATCTTCATTAGCCTATTGTTAAAACTGACTACACCCTGACTGCTTGACAGTTTTGTTCCATGATCAAATAAATGACCCTTCTTTTACTTGTCTATTATTAATCTTTGTAGGTTCACAGGACCATAGGATCATAGATCTAGACCTCGATGAGACCTTAAAGGCATATAGACCAACACTCTCATTTTATGGATGAGGAAGTTGAAGCCCATGGAGGTTAGGTGACTTCCCCATGTGGTGAGATTGAACCTGGATACTAGTTAGAACAACAGTTTGAAAGGCTGAGCTTCCTTAATGATGGAGTGAACCTTAGAAATGGGCTAGTAAGGCTATTCCAGGCGAACCCTATCAGGCAGAGAATAATGGACCAGGATTGAGGATAGAGACATTTCAAAGAGAGTAGTCATAGAGACCTCTAGGATAAGGACAGTTAAGCTATCTGCAGGGTGAATGCAGGATGATTTAAAAACTTGGGAGAGAGGTTGGGGAAAGACCTTCCTCAGCCAAGGTTCTTCAGATGGGGGCTTAGGCATAGAATAGGAATAGGGTTGCAACATCTTTCCAGTTGTGTCTGCCAATCTGCACCCAGCTTGTAGTTACTTTAGAACAAAGTTTCTGTACTTTGTAAACTATTCAGTTTTATACTTGATATTATTTTCTTGCATAGTTCCCTGGTAAAGCTCTTTTTGAAAAGTGCCAGCATTGTCTGTATGGAATTGGGGTTCATAATTACCCCGAAAATCCAAATGTAGAGGTGTCAGTGGTTGTCCCATTGGTAAGACCTTCCAGGGCTTGGTTACCTCTGAAGCAATGACATTATTAGAGAGAAATGAGACCTCATGTGGGTGTCAGCTGTAAGTGTTCTTCCTTTCTTGGCATTCCCTTATCACTCTCCTCACTTTCCAATCTGCGATCCTCACAGAAAAGATGGCTTCATTCTCCATGTCACAGCATTCCTGGGTAGAATCCATTATAGCCAAAAGATGCTTTCATTGAGAGCAGAGAGAATTTTGATAATACCAGTAGGGGCCAGAATAAGGGCTCTTTGTCCAAATAAACAGATCTTCTTAGGCATTCATATTAGCATTCCTACTAGGGTTTATATCACTTCATATCCAGAAATGTATTGTTCTCACATTCTTTTAATTCAGGTTTCATGTATCCCTTTGGCTACAAAGATTATAGTGACATCCCTCTTGAGTTCTTTTGTTTGAGGGGCTTGGTACCTTGGGTCCCCTCTTTTCCTGTTTGCTACATAAAGATACAGTCGTCTTTTTCCTTTCATTAATCCTCTCTTGTAATTAAATGTCCTGTTTTTCATATTCACATAGGCCAATTCTTACAGGCCCCTGTTTTGAAAAGAGGTTATTGATCCTACCTTCCATAGCCTATATTTATACAATGGAATAGCTTCATGTCACTAGTGTTAAAGGACAGGTCTTACTGTTTTACCTTGTCAGTTCAAATAGAGAGTTAAAAAAGAGAGCTTGTTTTTTTTTAACTCAATTAACATTTAAATATTTTAAAATTTTAAAATTAAAATAAAAAAAATTAACTTCACTCTTTGACCTTATACAAATCACTTACCTTTTTTGATTCTGTTTCCTATATTTACCCTATATATGTAAAGTGGAAAAAATACCTGATTGCTGTGAAAGTCAGAGTGATTTTATATATATATGGAACTAGTTTTTTAAAGCTATGAAGTATCATATTCACTTGCAAGATGGCATTATTGATTACAATAAAATTAATAATAAACCCATTTCAATACAACATCATCTTTTTAAAAATAACTTTTTGAAAGGCCCAAATCAAGATTTTCTCAGCATTTGGACAGATAAAAAACCTACCATTTTGTATCAGTACTGACTTGTATAACAACTGTTTTCTGCAAAAGGGCTAATTTTCAGATCATGTCTATGACAATTGTTTTATTTATTACAATTAAAAATTGAATGCTAGCTATTGTACCTAGCAGGGAAGCCTAATTTTAAAAACATTAGTTCTACTTATCACTATAGGTCAAATGCACTGACTATTTGTTTAGCTAACAGATTGTGCCTGCTTGGCATGGACTAGGTTTGGCTGGATTAAATGGGACACATCCCCACTGGGATAAAACGTTCAGGGACGGTTTGTCAAGTATTGGCCACGTATATGTGAAAAATTGGCAGGTGCTTAATTTTAGCACACAGGTATTGAGACTGGCTATTACGTGGAGCTGAGCTAGACAGAAGAAATATTTGATAAGGCAAGTTGGGTTTCAAATCTCATTCCCTGAGATACCTATTTGGTTGAAGTGGAAGCAGAGGCATGAACTAGATGACCTACATAAGTCCCTCTATGTTCTGTAGGTCTAGGTTTAAATACATAAAATGAGGTAATAAATTTGTAATGATTTTAAACAAAATAATGGATTAAAATACCTTGCTACTATTATGTCTTAATCTTAATGCTGTGAAAAAATATAAAACATTATCCCTCTGATACATATTGACTGTATGACCTTGAGCAAGTCACTTAATTTCTTAGTACCTTAGGAAACTCTTAAAGATTATTTGTTGCAGAAAAGTTGCATATTGGCAAAGATAGAGTTTTTTCTCTCTGAGAATTCCCCAAACCAAGGAAAACAGAAGTTTGGATGACAAAAATAACAAACGATACTAGTAATAATATAACAACAAAAACAACAACAATAATGCATCAATATTTATTCTAGTTCTAAAATTGTCATGCTTGTATAATTGACAGCTCAATAAAGGAGAAGTTAGTAATATAATATATAGTATTAGGCCCATTTATGTCTTTAAAACAAATAGCAGATACAAAATATCATTCTCTTCATTTTATTGCATTATAAATTAACATATAGAGAAGATAGAAAAACTGGTAATTCACTTGGTGGACAACTCAGCCTCTTGACTTTTTTCCTACCTATACCAGCAGACCATTGCTAAGTATCTTTTTAAAAATATATTTTATTTATTTTGTTAAATATTTCCTGATTACATTTTTAAAAATTAATATCTAGTTTAAAAATTTTTGAGTCACAAATTCTTTCTCTCCTTCCTACCCCTTCCCCACCCCATGAGTAGGCAAGCAATATGATATCAGTTATGCATGTGAAGTCATGTAAAGTATATTTCCGTATTAGCCATCTAACTATCTTTTGATGTATATATAGATTCATGTAAGACCATAGATGTAGACCTGGGATAAGCTTTATTAGTCATCTGGTTTGGTAGTTTCATCTTACAGATGAAATTGGATCCAGAGAGGCTGAATGACTTGACCAAAGTAATACACCAATTTCTGTCTTTTCAACTAACTTTTAAGCTCATTGAGGATCCAGACTGTGTTTTCTTTTGATAGAATTTAAACTCCCTGAGGGAAGAGACTGTTTCATTTTTGTCTTTGTCTACTATTTAGTACAGTTCCCAGCACATAGTAGGCACTTAATAAATGCTTGTTGATTGATTGATTCAAGAGCAAAAGTGAGTTCTCACCTTTTCATCATATGGAGGGTTCAGGAAGGAACCAATATTCCAGAGGATAACATGGCCTTCTGTATAGAATATAAATGTTTAGAGATTTAGACTCTTTAATTGAGTATTCTGTGGTTTCTAGATAAATACCATTCATACTGCCAATTTCCAAGGGCTCAGCTATTTAAAATGCTGAATAAATTAGAGGTAGAGGAGCCAGAAACAAAACTTCATAACAACCTGGATATGTCTTTTTCCTCTGAGCATAATTCACAAAGTGCCCACTTTCACAGCATCATTTTTCATGCCTCATTTATCATGAATGTCACTTTAATAGCTGAGAATGAAAAGCTTTTGGACAAGAGATTACATATGCAATAATTAATAGAAATTAAGAAGACCATTCCTTAAAGGAAATACAAATTACTAAAAAGATACTTGCCTTCTTATTAATTCTGACTTAGTTTAAATAATAGCTATGAAAGGCCAGCTATAAAAAGAGCAAGAACTAATTATCCCTTTCCCTTCCTCTATAATGTCACTGTTCCCTTCGTCAGTGTAGGTTTATACAGACTATTCCTTTTATGCTAAGGGAGTGATGGCAATTTGTACTCTTCACAACAATGTGGGTGGTTGGAAAGTAGCAATAGCCTTATTGTACAGATGGGAAAACAGAGAACAGTTTGCCTGAGATTATAGGGTCAATGGAAGAAGTAGGAATAAAATTACAATCTTCCGATGCTTGATCCTATATTCTATGTCTAGTACTAGAACAAGCAACCTCTTAATCTTGCCATTGTCCTAGTATATTTGATGAGATTATTTTTGTGACCATTTTTCTAACACATAAGTTATCATGATGCCCATGGATAGGTGGGTGAGGGAAACCCCAGAAGAGAGTGATCTCTTACCCATGTTTCCTGCAAGCAGCACTCTGGCACACACATCAGTGTGCAGTGTAGTCAGAGAAATTGCAGAGTGTTTTGTGAAAGGTAACATATCCTTCAGTAATTTCCCCTGAATGAAGAATAATATAAACAAAAACTTTGCTATGATTTTCTTCCTACAAAGCTTAAATTTGAAGTTAAATTTCTAATTATAAATAGAATACCCTGGGTATGTTTCTTATATCCAGACACTCCTTCAGCTCTTCTACCTCTGGGGTGAATTTTCCTTTAGAACCAAGCCAGTGAAAAAGGGAAGGAAAATGGCAAAAGATGCACTTTGAATATTAGCCTAATTGGTTACAGCACTCTCTGTCCCATTGTCTAAAACTCGAATTCTTAACCCGAGGATCATGAACTTTTTAAAAAAATATTTTGACAACTATTTAAATGTTATCAGATTCTGAAAGAAACTAGATGTTCTAAGGTTGTCTACCAAAACAAGCTCCAAATGGATTGATGATTTAGACATAAAAGGTGATATCATAACAAATTAGAGGAGCATGGAAGAATTTACCTCTCAGATGCATGGACTGGGGAAAAGTTCGTGACCAAATAAGAGATAGAGAGATTCACAGAAAGTAAACTGGACAATTCTGATTACATAAAGCTAAAACATTTTTTGCACAAACAAAACCAATGCAGCTATAGAAGAGAAGCAGGAAATGGGGGGGGGGCAGGAATCTTTGCAGAAAGCTTCTCTGAGAAAGGTCTCATTTTTAAGATATATAGAGAACTGAGTGAAATTTATAACAATTAGAACCACTAGTGAATTAATGAATTGTTAAAGCCTAAGAATAGACAGTTTTCAAAGGAAGAAATCCAAGATATCAACAGTAACATGAAAAAAATGCTGTTACTAATAATTAGATAAATTAAAATGACTCCGAAGTAATGCTTAACACTGATCAGATTGACAAAGTTGACAAAAAAGGAAAGTGACAAATGCTGGAGGGGCTATTGGAAAATAGGAATATTAATACATTGTTGGTGGAACTGTGAACTGGTCCAGCCATTCTGGAATACAGCTTAGAACTATGCCCCCAAAGCTATTAAACTATATATATACCATTTGATTCGGAGATATTACAACTAAGTATGTGCCTCAAACAGATCAAGGAAAGAGGAAAAAGACTCACATGGACAAAAATATATTGCAGCTCTTTTTATGATGGCAAAGAATTGGAAACTGTGAGGGTACCTATAAATTGGAGAATGGCTGAACAAATTATGATATAAGAATGTGATGGAATATTATTAAGGTTGAAATGGGTACATGATTTAAACATAAAGGGTGATACCATAAGCAAATTATAAGAGCAAGGAATAGTTTACCTGTCAGATCTATGGAGAAGGGAAGAATTCATGACCAAACAAGAGACAGAGAACATTATGAAATGCAAAATGGATAATTTTGATTACATTAAATTAAAAAGGTTTTGCACAAAGCCAATGCAACTGAAGTCAGAAGGAAAGCAGAAAGCTGGGAAACAATTTTTACAAACAGTGTTTCTGATAAAGGCCTCATTTCTCAAATATATAGAGAACTGAGTCAAATTATAAGAATACAAGTCATTCCCCAATTGATAAATGGGCAAAAGATATGAGCAGGCTGTTTTCAGAGAAAGAAATCAAAGCTATCTATAGTCATATGAAAAAATGCTCTAAATCACTATTGATTAGAGAAATGAAAATTGAAACAACTCTGAGGTACCACCTCATGCATATCATATGGGCTAATATGACAGAAAAGTAAAATGATAAATGTTGGAGAGGATGTGGGAAAATTAGAACACTAATGCATTGCTGGTGGAGTTGTGAACAGACCCAACCATTCTGGAGAGCAATTTGGAACTGTGCCCTAAGGGCAATCAAACTGTACATACCTTTTGATCCAGCAATATCACTACTAAGTCTGTATCCCAAAGAGAGCATGAAAAAAGGAAAAGGACTCACATATACAAAATATTTATTGCAGCTCTTTTTGTAGTGGCAAAGAATTGGAAATTGAGGGGATGCCTATCAATTGGGGAATGGCTGAACAAGTTGTGGCATATGAATATAATGGAATACTATTGTTCTATAAGAAATGATGAACAGGTAGATTTAAGAAAAACCTGGGAAGACTTACATGAACTGATGCTGAGTAAAGTGAGCAGAACCAGGAGAACATTATACACAGTAACAGCAACATTGTGTGATGATCAAGTATGACAGACTTAGCTCTTCTCAATAAGACAATGATCCAAGACAATTCCAAGACTCATAGAGGAAAATGCTATCCACATCCAGAGAAACTGTGGAGTCTGAATGCAGATCAAAACATACTATTTTCACTTTTTTTGTTTTTTGTTTTCTTTCTCATGGTTTTTCCCTTTTGTTCTAATTCTTCTTTCACAACATAGCTAACATGGAAATATGTTTAGCATGATTGTACATGTATGATCTATCAGATTGCTTGTTATGTTGGGGAAGGGGGAGGGAAGGGAGAGAGAAAAATTTAGAACTCAAAATCTTAGAAAAAAGAAGGTTGGAAACTATGTTTACATGTAGTTGGGGAAAAATAAAATACTATTCAGTGCAAAAAAAAAAGAAAATGAAAAATAGGACAGGAAGAGTAAAGAAATAATAAACAAGATGATTTCAGAGAAACCTGAGAAGTCTTGTATGAATTGACGCTAAGCGAAATAAGCAGAACAATTTATATAAAGACAACAATGTAAAGATACAGTTTTGAAAGACAGCAATTTTGATCAACGTAATGGAACCAACCATAGTTTTAAAGTACTCATAATGATACATACACAGATGAAACACGCACAGATAGAGAGCTGATGCAGATTGAAGCATATTTCTTTTTCTTTTTTGGACATAGCTAATGTGGGGAATTTGTTTTGCTTGACAATACATATTTGTAATGGGTTTCTTGTCTTCTCAGTGGGTTGGGGTGAGAAAGGAGGGAGGGAGAAAATTTGGAACAGAGAATAAAATAAAATTGAATTAAATATATAATTGATTTCTTTTGTAATCCTGTGAATTTTATTTTACACATTTAAAAACATTATTCTGAGGAACTGTCTATAGGTTTCACATGATTGCCAAAATTTGTCAGAGATGAAAAAAAAAAGGTTAGGAACAACTGTCCTCGAAGGTCCAGGTATAAGTTTTTATAAGCTAAATCTCTTTGCACTAGAAACTTGTACGAATGAATCACACACACACACACATTTATAATGCAGTGGTTAATGATATTTATAATTTCAGGCTTAGAAGCCAAGAAAACAGAGAGATAAAGAAACTTTTTAAGAACAGAGAGAAGTCTTTTATCCTGGGAAAAAACTCAGGGATTGTCAAGTGATAATCACTGTTAAGTGACTGTTTACCTAGGGTGTCCTGAAACATACCTTTAATATTAGGAAGGTTGTGAGAGTCTACTTTCCTACAGCTAGCCAACACTCATCTTTCTGAATTTGTGCAATTCAGAGTTGAAGGTTGCCTGTGGGAAAACTTCCTTCTTCTGCCCCTACTACAAATCTCTCATTCTCATTCACCTCAATCATAACCTTCCCGTGTCCTATGCAGCTCTGCCTTTCCCTTGTATCTTCTGAAACCTTTGTTCTATTGTGAACAAACTTCTGTGTTAGATCTTTCCCTTTCACATCTTCCATATTCTTGTACTCACAGAAACCTGATGTGGCAGGGCCAGCAAAACTAACTTCTGCAATGTTTCCTTTCATGTCAGGACTTGGCAGTATTGTACCATTTTGTATTTTGTATGTAAGTAAATCTTACTGCTTTTTAAAATCCTGTAACTACAAATACTATCTTTTCTCATTAAGTGTGTGTATGTGTATGTGTGTATGTGTATTTCATATGTATAATACACACATACACATTTATGTATAGCTATCTTAATGTATAGCTATATTAATAAGTAATCCCATTAGGATCTTTGAGTCTGGGAAGTTGATTCCTTCTCCCCTGTGGAATGTAAGTTAATATTTCATACATAAAATCTCATTAAAAATAAATATCTCTCTAAGGCCTTTAATTCCTAACTTAAAAAAACAACTCAAGGCCATTCTCCTGGCACTTGCCAGATAATTGGCATGCATCCCATAAGTGATAATTAATTAGTTATTAATTTTTATTAATGACCCCTTTTTTATTCATATAGCTATCACCTTAGTTGAGACCCTTATCATCTATTATTGCCTAGATTATTGCAATAGCCTCCTAATTGGTTTCTCTGCATCATAGGTTTTCCCTCTATTTCTCTTGATCATCCATACTGCTGTCAAAGTGATTCTCCTTTAGTGCAAATCTGACCATGTCATTCCCTCAATATCTAAATTCTAGTGGCTTCCTATTGTCTCTAGAATCAAACATAAACTTTTCAGTTTAGTGTTTTAAAACTTTCCAAACCTTTCCTGCCTGCTTGTATGCTATTTCCTCTTCTACATTCTGCATTCAGCCAACCTGGCCTTCTCTCTGTCCCTCACACATGACAATTCCCTCTCCCATTCCTCTGCCTTTTCCTAGAATATACTGTCTCCTCAGCTCCGCCTTACAGACTCTCTTTTCTTCAGGATTCAGTTCAAATATCACCTTCTACTTGAAGCCTTTCCTGGTTCCCTAAACTGTTAGTTCCTTCCATCTTAAACTACCTTCTATTTAACTACATTGTGTTTGTTTTTGTTCTCTTTATAGTTATTCTGTACATATATATATATACATATACACACACATACATATACATACATATATAATATATATGTATATATGTATATTTTTGTTGTCTTCTCCAAGAATGCAAGTTCTTTGTGAGTGTGAATAGTTTCATTTATTGTATATAGCATAGTCCTGAGAACATAGTGAACACTTAATAAATGCTTGTTAACTGGTTTGTAATAACTTGGACTCAAATGTCTCCATATTACCCAACATAAGAGATAAGACTGTCCACACACACGTTTATACACACACACACACACGCACAAACACATGCGCACACATTAGCCAACCTTTGGTAAATCAGGGAGCATTCCATTTTCATCCTCTTATCCTTTCAAC